TATCTCTCCCTGTGATTTTATTTTTATTTATTTATTTTTAGCCTAAGGGCCAGTGTCGAGTGTTGATGGGTGCTTCCATTTATACATTCTTTCTTCCCTTTTGATGTAATTTGCTTAGGAAAAAATGTAACAAAGCTGCCAAAGCAAAATTCCAACGAGCAATATATATTTCATGATGGTAATTGAATCCTTCAATTTCGAAAAAGTATAATTTGGTTGCTAATCACTATCAATGTCTTTTTCAATAATAATACTACTAATTCTTTTCACCCCATGTTTAGTAGTACGTTGGAAAGGTCTAGAATGGAGAGCCTTTCCTACTTCTTCGTTTCATTCTAGTACAAGACATGCAAATTTTTTTTGTTGGAAAGACATTTCCTCTGGAAAATCTATTCCAACTTTTTTTTGGAATTCCATTCCTCATAAAATTCTAAGGAAAGTCCATTCTCACTTTATCTAGGAAACACCTAAATTATAGCAAGAAACACCTAAATTGCGGGTGCCAAGTTTATCTTTCCATATATCTCCATCTTCTAAAAGCACTTTTGTGTGAAAAGTCAAAAAAAAAGTTTGTGCGACAATTATAATATATTGTTTACTAATAGTTTGTCGTATTATTTTCGCCACATGTTTTCATCTTTTCTTGTTTTGTTTCTTTACAAATTATTGAAGTTAATTGTTATGGCTTTCTTATTAATATCAGAGTTTATCTTATATATTATATATTGGTCATTTCATGCATCCTCTACATTTGAAAAGTTTAATTTCCAAAGTTTTACATAAAGCAATACTTCAACACTAGGGATTATCACCTTCTCTATTAAATGATATTTTTCTCTTCTTATCATTAAATAAAATGTTTAATAAAAAATTTTGACATTATTATTATATAGAAATGTGGATTATGTGATGACATTTGTCAACTCAAAAGAAGCAATAACATGCCAATATACATTCATATGTACCCTCCAAAATAGAAGAAAAAAGAAAAAAAAATGCTACTAGACATCTAATAAGCCGCAAGTATACTTTTGTATTGGTAAATAGTTTTAGAGTGAATAGCCCAAAAGGTCACTAAACTATTAAAAATGGCACCCTCTGGTCACTAAACTTTTTTTGTGGCCGAAAAGGTCACTAAACTCGCAAAAACTCTCCAGCGAAGTCATTTTACCGAATTTCAGCAGTTCCTCATCCGGTAACAGCGTCAATATGGAGTGGAGGAATATAGTAAAGGGGCAAAAATGTCTGAAAGATTATTGGAATAGGTGAAGCCATAGATTGTCTCAATCCCAAACCACTTTTGAACCCATAGATTGACTTCGTCTTCTCCGACAGTAAAAAAAGTGACTTTGACCACCTGTAAACCAAATCAGAATAGCAAACCTCTTCGAGTTACAGCCTAAACCCATCTCAAAAACAAGAGTAGCCGAGGAAATTGTGAAGCTGGTGATTTCAATGAAGTGGGTGAAGCGACCGAGGGATGAGTATGCTGACCCGTACACGATGTATGGTAAGTTATTAAAAAATTTATTTTGGTGAAGAAGAATGTTGGTAAAAGATAGTGCAAAGTCTGAAAATGTTAATACGAAATGCAAAAATGTCGAAGAGGTTTTAGGGTTTAATGGGTTATTTTATATATAACAAAGGGGGCATGAAAGGGACAAGAGAGAATGGTCCTCCCTTTTGTCGTCATAGTAGGTTACAAGGGGTCCTACATTCGCATGTCGTTAAACTAAATTAATTAGGCAGAAAAAATGTGAATTTTATTGTATTTGTTGACTAACTGCGGTATAATATTAAGGTTTTGTGTGGGAATTAGAAATGAACCTGTATTGAAGACTTAAAAATTAATTTCAGATTGTAGTTTTTATTAAAAGATTGGATATCTATCAATTAACAATACCTGCAACTATTTGATCTTTGTGATGCAGAGTATGGATGCTCATTATTTACAGTTAAGATGCGGCATGGTGGTAGAATTGAAGGGGATAAATATAAGAGTTATGTTGGTGCAGAGGTAGACTATTTTGATCTTTGTGATGGTGATAGAATGTCAATGCATGAGATTAATGATATGGTGAAAGAGTGTGGCTACAACAAGGATGTCATATTGTACTATTATCTTGATCCAAGAAGTGATATCAACAATGGATTGAAAGAACTCCAAACTGACGAGCATATCAGATAGTTTTGTAGTTGGGTGGAGCAGTTCAAGTTGATGGAAGTGATATGCGACCATGTTCCAGATGACGAGGTGTTAAAAATTCAAACAAAAACCATCGTAGAGCCACCGGATGTGCACAAGTCTACAGTGATCGTTGAGGAAATTGATGATGGGGAGGAACGTCAAACAATGAATGCGTGTAATAGTAAATCTGTGAAGAAAAAGGGTAGATTCCGTACACGATCATTTGCTGCTTTAGAGTGGAAGGATAGCACTATACAAAAAAAAGCAGTGCATGAAGCTATTGACCAAGGTGATGCACCTACAATTACAGCAGGCTTGCACTCAACTTCTGGAGATGGTGAAAATGAGGGAGAAGGAGGCGAGTGTGATGATGGGGATGGAACATGTGACGAGAGGGAATTTGAACAATACACAGATTATTATCGGGACGATGAAATGTATGAAACACAAAGTATGCAGCAGCCTCCAACACAATGTGGTCAACCACATGAAACTCATGCTGAGTCAAGTGAAAGGCAGCTAGAAAATGAAATTGATATTGGCGAAGGAGATAGTGAAAGGCAGCCAAGTGAGCAACCTAGCCAGGCAGGAACTCAAGCATCAAAAATTACAAATTTGAGGAGTTCTAGGTTGAGCAGCAAATGGAAAGGTGATGTCACAGCTGCTGAAACTACACGGGAAAGTGAAGACCGTGGCCCCCAAACTACACAGCAAACACGGGCAACCAATGCTAGCAATGAAAATCCACTTTTGAATGATGGAATGGAGATGGAACTCAACAGCAATAATGGGTCGTCTGACGAGGAAATCCAAGAGGTAAACATGAATTATACTAACTTTGATATGGAGAAGTTTATGAAAAATCCTGAATTTGAGGTTGGTATGAAATTTGGAAGTAAGGGTCTGTTTAGAGAAGCTATTAGGAATTACTCGATTCTTACTGGGAGACCCGTATTTATGTACACAAATGACAAATCTAGATTGAGGGCAAAATGTGTGGCACCCTGTCCGTGGTTTGTGTATGCTTCTAAAGTTCCAGCATTGAACAACTCAGATTTTGTTTTGAAGACATTGAATGATGTTCACAATCATTGCAGTCATGCCTGGAAAAATAAACACATGTCTACCTCTTGGCTGGCAAACAGATATGAAGATCAAATAAAGTCAAATATGTATATGCCAGCAAAGCAAATTAGACAGGTTGTGGATGAACAATATAAGTGTGAGATTAGTAGAAGTATGGCTTACAAGGCAAGGACTAAGGCTAGGAAGAATATTAAGGGAAGTGTAGCAGAACAATATGCTTTTGTTTGGGAATATGCTGCTGAATTACAGAGGACCCATCCAAATACAACAATTGACATTCAATACAATCCGAGAAATGATCCTGATGAGAGACCTACATTTACCAGATTCTATTGCTGTTTAGGACCTCTCAAAAAGGGGTTTAATGAGGGTTGTAGGCCCATTATAGCACTTGATGGGTGTCACACAAAAGGAGCATATCCGGGACAATTGTTGACAGCTATTGGGACAGATCCCAATAATGGATGGTGGCCCATTGCTTGGGCTGTTGTTGAAAAGGAGGCAAGAGAGCAGTGGCATTGGTTTCTGAGCTTATTGATTAAAGACTTACAAATAGCCACTGCCAGCAGTCATTACACATTTATTTCGGACCAACAAAAGGTGAAGCACTCATATCTTATCATTATTGTTGATATTAGTTACTATTTGGTTTATTAGAGTTGACCAATTTTTCACAATTTGTTATTGTAGGGGCTTGATAGTGCACTTTTGGAACTTCTTCCATATTGTGAACACAGATTCTGTGTTCAACACATGTACAGGAATTTCAAGAAAAAACATCCTGGGCAGATTTTAAAAGATAGACTATGGAGCATTGCAACAGCTACAACTGTTGAGTTGTATGAGGCAGAACTTGATGACTTGAAAGAGTATGACCAGCTTGCATATGCATGGGTCAAAAGGGCACCACCACCACAGCATTGGTGTAAGGCATTCTTTCCTCATCATGTTAAATCTGATATGTTAGTTAATAATCTCTGTGAGACGTTTAATGCAAAAATATTAGAATACAGGGATTTACCTATTATTGGAATGATGGAAGGAATTAGGGAGTATTTAATGGGTAGAATAGGAGATAGGGCGGCTTGGATGAAAAAATGCCCTGGTGCTGTTGGTCCAACTATTAAGGAGTTGATTGAAGAGAGGGCAAAACAGTCTAGGAAATGGAAAACTGTGGCAAATGGTGATGGGGGTTATCAAGTCAAAGGGCCTAAAGGGGAACAATATGCTGTATATGTACAAGAAAGAACATGTACTTGTAATTTATGGCAAGTTAGTGGCCTGCCATGCTGCCATTCCATTGCAGCACTTCATAGAATGAATGAGGACCCGTGCATGTATACTGATGGGTGTTACTCCAGGGAACTATTTTTAAAAATTTATGAGAATGTCCTCTACCCTATCAGTGGAAAAGCACTTTGGCCAACTAGTACAAATCCGGTGTTAGGCCCCCCAATACCATGTGTGCAAGCGGGAAGACCTAGAAAGGCAAGAAGAAAAGATGTTACAGAGAATAGAAGCCACTCTGGGTCACAAAATGCAACTGTCCACAAAATGAAAAAACATGTTGTTATGCATTGTAGAAACTGTGGTTTGGCAGGTCATAATCGAGCTACATGCAAAGCTCAAGATGGTGCTGAAACTGAGCATTTAAGACAGAAAAATGCAACTGGCCAACCAAACAAATTTGTAGCTCCAGGTTGTAGTGAAGAGGATGCTATTCCCAAATCTAGAGAAGAGAGTGTTATGCATGAATCTGGTGAACAGAATGCTGAAAATGTTGACGTTGAAGTTGGCAATTTTTTCCAACAATATGATAATATTGCTGTTCAGCCATCAACTTTAGAAGGTGCACAACAATCAATGGAAGGAGCAAATGTTGCTGCCGAAGGTGACACTAGTAATCCAACAGAGATGTTGAGGACGATTGCCAGTCCAACTAATAAGAGGCAAATTAGAAAGATAAAGACCCCTGTTAGCTATCAACCTTTCTAACTATTGTTATACAATATTGTAATTGTAGTTCTTGGAATAACTGAGTGAAATGTTATTTGGTTTTTGTGATCAGGTCCGGCGAACTCGACCAGATGCTCCCAGAACAACAACAGGTCAAAAAGATCCTCGTCCGGCTGCATCTACTGATAATACGCAGAAAAGGGTGGTCCAAAAAAAGAGAAAATTGACGGATGCTGAAAAGGGTGCGATCAATGCCAATTATGCATATTTGGGAAAAGAACCACCATTCAAGGTTGGAAATTGGGCAGGAAGATCATTTGGAAGAGGACGTGCAACTTAATGATAAACTGTTAAATAACTTTTGTAGTCTTTTTGTAAATCTTTTTGTAGATCATTGGGCAGGAAAATGTAATAGGTTTTTGTTGCCATTTTGTGGGAGTCAAACATATCTTTTGTCCACCTATTGTAATACAACCAATTCTGATCCAATGCAATGACTCTTTTATTTGCCATTCACTACTTAATCATTGGAATGGGCTATTGTTCTTGTCAAATTAATTGATTAGTCAATAGCAGAACTCATAATTAACATTTTCAAAGATCCAAAGTCAACACAATTACTAGCTTCATTAAGTTCAATTGCATTGTACATACCAGCAATCCAAAATCTCTGCATTCTACAAACTAGTATTTCGCAACATTTCTTTCATACACTAGCAATTTGCAACCTCTTCGAATTTGGCATTGTTGGCTCATGCATCCATATTAACCACACTGTAACAACCACCCCAATCACAAAAACACTTTTTGCTAGCTTTCTTGTCCTTTGTTTTTTTTCCAATTGCTCCTTTAGTCTTTTTATCTCCAGTGCCATCTCGTTTTCTTTGCTTTGCCATCCCCGAACCTCCTTTTGCAGAGCTTCATTCTCAGCTTCTAATTTGTTCTTACTTCTTAACAGGGCAAGTATTACTTGCTTAGCTCTCTCACAAATTTCTTCATCATACCAGTCCCAAAATCCACACCCTCTAACTTGCAGCAACAAATATTTACATTTTATCCATCTTGTAAACTCGCAAATATCCATTAAGTAATTATCTTACCTGATTTTGAGCACATTCAATATATCTTCGCGCTGGATTTCTTTCTGTCCATGAGGTCTTCAAAATAGTTCTAGTTCCGCACTTGCAGAATGGAATCGGTTTATTGCGTCTTGCCATGAGTCATTGGACAGGATGAAATGGAAGGAGATTTTTCCTTGAATAGATGAGAGAAGATTTGTCTTTCAACAAATGAAAAGAGGACTCAGCTAATTTCTAGATCTAAGGCACGACTTGCGAGAGAAAAAAAGGTTGACCATATTTTGTTTGACATTTTTGCCCCTTTACTATATTCCTCCACTCCATATTGACCCTGTTACCGGATGAGGAACCGCTGAAATTCGGTAAAATGACTTCGCTGGAGAGTTTTTGCGAGTTTAGTGACCTTTTCGGCCACAAAAAAAGTTTAGTGACCAGAGGGTGCCATTTTTAATAGTTTAGTGACCTTTTGGGCCATTCACTCATAGTTTTATGAACGGGACAGAAGGAAATCAAGAGCACATGCGAATTGATATGCACACAATTTGATAAGTATGGAATTTGAATATTTAGTTTAGCCCAATTAGTATTTAACCATTGCAATTTTATGCGATTAAAAATGTTATTTTTTTTTATTAATAAGTCATATATCTTTGTATCAAATGTCTATGCAATGCGCCCTTACTCAGAAGTGTAGTTTCAAATCAAACACAAGAAAACTAGTATTATTTTACCTTAGAATGGTAGTATCAAACAAAATAGAGAAGAAATGTTTTATATCTAGGGCAATTGAGTCAACATTGTAATTTTTTTCATTCCATTATGCCTTCTATATATGGTTATACCAAACATTGGAAAAGAAACACATATTCCATTTTGACTTGAGTTACACTCGAATAATAAATAGTTTCTTATCCATTCTGGCAGGAAAAAATTTTTGGATGAAAAGACCTTTCCATTTTAAGTTATTCCTATACCAAACGAAAGGCTAGAGTACTGCTAGTCCTGGTAATAATACTGATTCGTATCATTACTGATTTCGAGTTAACTTTAAGATTTCCACGATAGGGTAATCAAAGGATTTTTGAAAATTTTATTTGTGGTCCTTTAGGCTAGTTTGTGAGTTGAGGATAGAAAAGAAAAGAAGAGAAATGTTAAGTTATGAGAGAAAAGAAATGATAAGAAAAGAAGAGAAGAGATTTTAATGTTGTTTAGGAGTTTATGAAAGAAATGGGGTGATTTTGGATACATAGGTAAATAATATTTCATTCAATAGCTTTTTAGGGGTAGAATGGGTGATTTAAAAAATTTTTGCTGCCTTTCCGTGCTTTCCTTTGCTTTCTACCCGATTTGGGCCGGAAATTTTTTTTTAAAGTGTAGCTGTTTCTTCTTCTTTCTAATTCCGTCGGTTTCTTTTCCTTTCCTTTTCACTTAAAACTCTTAAACATGGGAGATGCAGCCTTTATCTTCTATTCTTTTCTTTTCTACTCAAATCTCATCTCCCAAACTAGGTGTTAGAGTGGTTTTGAATTTGGTTGATTCATGGGCCAATTACATAAGTTGAGCCCAATTGTTCCAGAAGCAACCAAATTAAAAAGCACAAATTCCAATAGAATATTTTTTTTAAAATTCCAATTGAATATAATAATGTATGGTTTAGCACAAATTTGTAGCAGGTTTTTTTTAAAGGATTATCTTTAGATACCTAAATCTTAAGGAAAATGTCCAATTATAAAAAAAATGGAATTATGATAACTAATTAAATCGATGGCAAGTTGGACTTGGACCGAAACCCAATGGTCAGGACCGCTATGTTCTTTTAGAGTCTACATAATTAGTAATCTTTAAAAATTAGTACCGCCAAATTGGAAAAAACTTTCTAGATATGGAAAGATTCTATTTTTGGAAAATTTCTAATTTTTGTAAATTGTAAAATTTTGTTTGTAAAGGTTCCACATGTACTAGGGACATCTGAAGAGTAGAATTGAGTATAGTAACTACATTACATCAAAAGTCTGATAAAAAAAACTACATTATATCAAGTAATTAATAAGCATTCCACGTTATGTACTTTTAGGATATGGGGGATTTTGCAAAGTACGTGAGCGATTAAGTATATCATCATGGATTAGAGATTAGTAATTCTTATCCCTCTGTGATTTCTAAAATTATTTAATAGGAATTATTTTTGCTTAATTTGTTTAATTATGCAAAAGCAGATCATATATGATTGTGTTTAGTTTTGAAATGTAATGATCATCTAGAGTGTCATGTTTTGTGATAAACCATATGTTTTATGATAGATTCATGTTATGCACGATTTGTATCGGTAAATGTTAATAACCATACTAGGCTTTGAACTGACATGAGATTGACCTAATTTTATGATTAAGTGGCTCATTGGAATAGCTTAATCTTATAATCATGTTTATGCAAACCAAGTGAAGGCCACAAGCACTGCTTGACCTGCCCTCTTAAAATCAGTGTTTAAAGCTAGATTGAGTGCTCAAGAGCGATGAATGCATGCGCTAGTTTATGAGCTGCTGACATGTTAAAAGTTTTTCTGCATTATAATCATAGATTTGATCGTGGGAACATCAATGTTTATGTTACATGTACACGTAAATGACTGAAGCTTTACACATGAATGAAATTGCTGCATGTGGATAGTGTGTTAAATCTTTTTGAAATGTATATATGCATAATATCTGCATAATTCAGAAGAGGAGGAGATTGCTATTCATTGGGCATATGTTTGCTCACCCCATGCTGTTTTATATTTTTCTCTAAATGATGACTAAGAGCTAATCATTGTAGAGGTTACAAGAGTATGATGAAAGGACATAGCTAAGCAAGTGATCTATTAGAATTAGGATTAATGTGTTTATGTTGGAAAAAGAAAGTTCGTTATTTCCCTTTTATAAGCAATTGTTTATTTGGAGCTTGTAGACTCATAGAATGATATGTTTCATTCAAATATTAGTCAAAGTTGCATTGATGATATTTTAATATTAAGTGTTATTAAGGTTTGTGTTTGTAAAGTTTTAATCACAAAGTAAATATGACACAAATCACAAGTTAAACAGTCCAAAATGGAAGAATTGCGCAAAATGCAACATTTTTGGAAGTTGAATGAGAATATGACACAAAAGATAGTTAAGTGACCAAAAGCTGTTCTAATTTGAGGTAATTGAGATTGTAATTAGAGCTAGGATAGAACACAGAATTTCATGAATTTCATAGAGATGACAACTGGTGATATGATCCGAATCCTCTCCTACTCTAGTCCATTAAGATTTCGCATGCTCAAGTTTCACATAAAGCAAGTGATCAAGTTCATTGAAGATCCGAACCTGCTTTAAGCTTACTTCATGTTGTCTTTGTTTAGATCATTTCCAGCATTATTAGTTGTTAATTAGAGTTAGTTTAAGAGTTAATTTAGTCATTTGAATTAGGCAATAAAGATCAGGTCATGTGGACCATTATTGAGCCCATTTAAGTTAGTTAGTTTCCTAATTTAGTCAAGTTAGGATTTAGGAAAGCCATTACTTGTTTCCAAATTTGATTAGGATAATTAGGGGGTGCTTGTTTCACATATTGGAATCGGAAATGGAAATGGAATTAAAGACTCTGGTTTTATAATTAAACTTTTCATTCCAATATCTAACTTGGTTCACACATTGGAATTAGCATTATTCCAATTCCTGATGCTTGGTTTGATGAGTGTTTCGGAATTAAATGCAATTAAATTTCAAATTTACCCCTGATATAATAATTCTTATAAAACAAAGAGATAATTGCAGAAACTGGTAAGTTTTGTATTTAACAAAAATATGAGACTTTGTAGATTTTGAAGTTTAAGAAAGGGATATTTGAAGTTTAACGACCGTTATACAACTTTCAAAACAAACAAATTCATTCTAAATTTTTTTTTTGGAATAATTTCATAAACCAAATTGCGGCCACTTTCACAAAAGTCATATTTTCCCATAAAAGACCAGCTCTTTATAGGTTTCCTCCATTATAAGAACAAAGTACCTATTTTCCCATAAATAAATTTATTTATAGGATAAAATAAAAATAAACCCGTTTTCCAATAAAATACTAGTTCTTTATGTCTTTCCTCCATTATAAGAACAGAGTACCCATTTTCCCATAAACAAATTTATTTATCGGATAAAATAAAAATAAGCCCGTTCTCCAATAAAACACCAGCTCTTTATAGTTTTAGAATGAAGGGTTACAATGTCACTGTCTCTATCACCATCAACTTTTGACTCCCTACTTCTTCCATCCCACCCACCAGAACGAAAAAGATTTCACAAAAGATCAAACCTTGCATGAAATGATTAACTATAAAGTTTTATTAATA